TAATGTAATTTCTTTCATATATATTTATTACAAAAAAAGTTATTATACATTTCCGTAAAATGCCATGGGTGGGGCACCTTTGAACATGCCAGCTTAAAGTATGTCATATGTATATTCATTGTAGAGGTTACATTTGTACCTATTAGTTAAAATTTATAAGAAACCAAAAAAGATAAAATAAAACCAGTGAACGGAGCAGTATAGTCGGACGGGGCCGACCATACGATACCCTACACAACTACCACAGAACTTTATTTGTTTTGCGGATTTTTATTCCGAGCCTGGGTAATATTTCGTGATAGTTGCACCCTCTTTACCGATTAGAGGTCAACAGCACCTCTTCCTTACACTGACATATTTTCCGAATATTACCAATATTCAGTACAGCCCTTCTAATTACTTGTCCACATTCCCTTCACCGTGGGTTGTGTTGTGATGTTCGACTTATAATAGTAGCCTATAGATCGAATAGATCGAATCGAAAAAAAAACACAAAAAATAAGTTTTCGGTCCACTTCATCCCAAAATAATTATCTGATCATCACCGAAAATTATAGGCGTTGTTCTTGACCATAACTGGAACCTCATGGAAAATGTCAAAGCGATCCACGCTATATTTCCGCCCTCTAGTGTGGTAATGGTTTATTAAATATATCTGTACACGTAAGTACCTGCAAATATTTACGTATAGCTCCCACATCCGTGTACATACGGCACTATAATTCCAATCACTCCTCTTGGATAAACTATTAACTTCTCGGCTCTATGTCCTTCAGGAGTAAATATATACGCTGTAGAATACAAATTTTGTAAGTTTTCACACAAAAGTCAGGGTCCATTTGACCCGCTAAATATTGACCGATCTTTTTCAAAACAGGCATGCTTATTCTTTGGCCCAATCCCCTTCTTCATGTAAAAATTCGAGATGTTTGGGCCATAATTGCGACCAGAAAAACCGACAAAAATTAAGTATTTGGTCCATTTCATGCCCTAATTATTAACCGATCTTTACCAAAAACAATAGGGGTCTTCATTGGGCCGAACCCTTCCTACATGCAAAATTTCGTGAAGATTGGTCCATAACTGTGGCCTGGATCGACTCAGCTAGTCGAGATATGACGATCGGTATACTTAAAGGTGGGTCTAGGACCAATATTTCGCTGCGTTGCAAACTCTTGGGGCTGCACAAAGCTATAATACCCTGACAACATAGTTGTGTAGGGTATAAAAATTTTATGAGGTTTGAAAGGAAAAAGTGTTCAAAGATGCCCCCTCTCCCCTACTTATGATTGCTAAGGTAAGTAGTTATGGAAATGTTATATTAATATGTGCTACCTGTTACTAAATTTGGATTTGGGTGAACCCATATTTGACATTTGGATTTTTTCCTCTACCGAAGTGTAAACTGAATTATTAAATTTGATACTTCACTCACAAACCTTCTTCTTCCTTTCGTAACAGTTTTTTTTTGCTACGGGTGTTGTCACAGGGAATAAACAATTACTCAAATGTTCACAGACATATATATATATATATATATATAGAAAAAATAAATAAAAAATTGCATTATATCACTTTCGGGTAGTTTGTTCATTTGTCCATTACGTTGCCTTGATTTTTATTTACTTATGTCTTGCTATCTTCTGGAACAGTATAAAAAATTCCTGCAGATGTACACGCGCCTTTCCTAGGAACGTCTCTTATGAAATCGGAAAATTTCCGAAACTTCAGTAACAAACCAGGTGACTGCTATTGCAATATCAAAATGCGTTAAGTGTCATCTGTCACGAAAAATATAACAAAAGCGCAACAGTCATTTACCTTGACATATACCAGGCGACAGCAGAAAATTGGAAGCTACTTCCAAGAATTTTCTTCAAAAGCTTACATAAAAAGTTTAGTTTGCCGATTTTGGGAGTGAAGGTGTGATGAAATTCTGATATGTAATATGTTTTCTTTATTATGAGAAATGCAATGCAATTGTACAGATTACCAAAGGGGTGGTGGATTGACAATATATGGTTGTGAGAGTGAATGATATAAGCGATATCAAATTGAAAACGCTTATAAAATTTCTTGGTTTATTTTGATCTATTTTAAATCTGTTTTATTTTATATTTGTGATTTTATAGACACTATGTAATTAATTGTGCTGTGTTGGTAAAAATAAAAGTTGCATAAAAATTAATTTTTGTAATAAAAAATGGAATTTTTATTGTATCAAGTTACTTCATTAATTTTACAATTCACTTCAACAAATTTGTAAATTGTGTATTTTTATAATTGTATATAATATTTAATATACATAGAATCACTTTCTGTCCGCCCATCTGTATGTCTATATATTGTGGAAAATTAAGTTCAGGTCGTACATATTTATGCTCCTTAGTGGTGTTTGACATATCCAATTTATTTGACCAGATTTAGATATTAAATATTTATTTTTATTCGATTACACGATAGTTGGATATTTTGGCATACTACATACCCCTCATATATATATTTTTAAGAGTTTGGATTTCAGCATTTTGAGGATTTTGAACCCGTAATTCGATCGAATTGTTATTGGATCGGATGTTTGTTCCAATTGGGTATCAAATCAATTTTATTCAAATTTTTTTGATGGCACATTACGATACCGCTCAAATTTATATATTTTGAGAATTTTTAACAAATATCACCCAGAGTGGCAGATACTCGTATTGGCTGCCCAAATGTAGTTTTTCACGCAACATGTTTGGAAGTGTGTCGATGGCTCAGAACGTTAAGTGGTCTGGTAACATTTGTGTTGCTCTGAGGACCTAAGTTCGAACCCTAGCCGTGATCAGATGAATTAATTTTTTGTACCCTCCACCATAGTATGGAGGGTATATTAATTTTAACATTCCGTTTGTAACTCATCGGAATATTCATTTCCGACCCTATAAAGTATATATATTCTTGATCAGGGTAAAATTCTAAGATGATCTACCCATGTCTGACCGTCTGTTGTAATCACGCTATCTTCTGAAGGAATTGAGATAGGGTGCTGAAATTGCATAAGTTTGTCTTTTGTTTGCATAGTTTTGTCTTTTGTCTGCAAGTTCGAAGATAGGCTTTATCGGTCCACTTTCAGGCATAGCTCCCATATAACGGTACCTCCCAATTTTTGGTATTTTGAGGTTTTTGAGCGCATTTTTCTACCGAATTCGCTGAAATTTGGTACATTGGGTTCTTATTGGGTACTAAATATCTCCACAAAAAGTTATACATATAGGTCCACTTTTTCTGGTAGCCTCCATATAACGGTACCTCCCAATTTTCAGTATTTTGGGGTCCTTGAGCGCTTTTTTTCCACTGAATTGTCTCTAATTTAGTATTTTGAGTTCTTAATAGGTACCAAGTCTCTCCACAAAATATTATGAATATAGGTCTATTTTTTCGGATAACCCCCATATAACGGTACTCCAAATTTTCGGTAGGTTGGGTCCTTGATCGCTTTTTTTAACCGAATTCGCTAGAATTTGATATTTTGTAGTCGAATATGGTAACAAATCTCCCTACCAAAGATTATTAATATTCGCCTCCTTTTTGGGGTAATTCCCATATAACCCACTTGTTTATATTCAAATAGTTATCTGACTTGTTCCGCGGAGGATATCGAGATAAAAAACTAGAACACAAGGTTTGATAATGAAATATATATGAACTATAACCCGCATTTGGGCATATCCCCTGTGTGGGTGGTACCAGAAGGCATAATTATCCATTACAAATTTCTGATGTTTGTATTATGGTTTACGTAATAGGTTTGTAAAAATGTAGGTGTAAGTCCACTTTTTGATGTTTTCCCTATATTTTCATTTCAAATACCTGTCAGTATATGGTGGAGGGTATCCAAAGTTCGGCCCGGCCAAACTTAATGCTTTTTCCCTTATTATTATTTGAATTTCACCTGTGAGGGCAGTGATTAGTTGAATGAAATGAAGTGAGTTATTTATACTATTTCGAATCGAGCTTAATGGCCTATATTTTGCTATGAAAAGGAAATAACTTGTATTTATTCCGCCCTAATGCGAATAAAAACCAACAACTCATAAATAAATGTCAATAAAATAAAAGCCAATTCAAAAATTGAGTCAAGAAAGGCGCTGCAATCGATGCAATGAAAAAATCGCAATTTTGTAGTTTAATTTTAAATCGATGATTTCGACGACTGTGCAGCCTACCTAATCAAAACTAGAACGACGTGTATTGACTTTTGTGGAAATCCGTTCGGATTCATATATAGCTACCAAATATATTTATGAAATTTTAAATTTGCAGCATAAATAAATTAAAATCTTCGGAACATCTGTTGTGTATCACATAGTCGGTACCATCCAAATTTGGTGTATTCCCTACTTAATTTCTTTTAAGTTATTGCGGTAAAATTTATGGAAACCAAATAGACAAAAATCTTGGATAAGACCGTGTTGGGTGCCACTCTTAACCATTGTCATGCCAGCATCATGTAATGTATGATGAGGGCAAGTAAATATTTATGGGTCCAAAAATCGTATTATCAAAAGCAACGACATTATCAACAAATATTACGCAGCACTTATGCCCAGTGCAATTAGCTTTATTTTTAAATACAAAAAAAGTTTATAAAAATTTACAAAAATAAATTTGCACTTTAAAAGTGATATTTAAAAATAAAACATAATATGACTAATCATTGATCGAGTCACAAATATGATGTGGTTATGTAAAAATATTTACAATGAATTTGTTTTTACAAGAAAAAATGCATGTTTTAAGAGTTAGTGTGAAGCTAAACAAAAATTGAATATTAAAACAAATATTTTTCTTAAACATTTCGCTGATTAAGTTTTTTTACAATTAACAATTAATATGACTTTGATTATTTGGTAACGTCAAATGAAAAATAATAATCATATAAAAAAATAAAATAAATTGTTCTTAGCAGGATAACGAAGTTATTTTCTTAAGAAAACCTGCATTCCTCCAGAAACAAATTACCAGCCATGGCCATAACCACCATAATGACCTCCATAACCACCGAAACCATGACCATAAGACAAGGCATATCCACCATAGCCATGACCACCATATCCACCATAACCGTGTCCATAACCTCCATAGCCACCATAGTAAACGGGAGCGGCAGCAACTTTAATCACAGGAGCAGCAGCAATTGTTTTGGTAATTACCGGTGTTATTGTTTTCGTAATAACCGGAGCTGCAACAACTTCCTTTACCACAGGAGCAGCAACAACTTCTTTAACCACGGGAGCGGCAGCAACAACCGCTGCACCATAGCCATGGCCGTATCCAAAACCATGACCATATCCACCACCATAATAACCATGTCCACCATAACCACCAAAGCCATGGCCATAGCCGCCGTAACCACCGTAGCCGCCAAGGAAGCCGGCCAGTGATGTCTGACAGCTGCAGAGAAGAGCCAACACAAGGACACACTAAAAGAAAAATAAAGAAAATTAAATACACTTTTCTAAAGGACTATCACTGATATAAAGGCGACAATTTTATACCCTACACAACTATGTTGTCAGGGTATTATAGCTTTGTGCAGCCCCAAGAGTTTGTAACGCCACGAAATATTGGTCATAGACCCACCATTAAGTATACCGATCCGGTCATATCTCGACTAGCTGAGTCAGTCTAGACATGTGTGTCCGTCCGTCCGTACAGGCCACAGTTGTGGACCAATCTTCATGAAATTTTGCATATAGGAAGGGTTCGACCCAATGAAGACCCCTATTGTTTTTGGTAAAGATCGGTTAATATTTAGGTGATGAAATGGACCAAATACGTATTTTTTGTCGGTTTTTCTGGTCGCTCCAGAGGCCGCAATTATGGTCCAAACATCGCAATTTTTTGCATGGAGAAAGGGATCGTGTCATAGAATAAGCATGCCTGTTTTGAAGATCGGTCAATAATTAGCGGGTCAAATGGACCCAGACTTTTGTGTGAAAAATTACAAAATTTGTATTCTATAGCGTATACAATTACTCCTGAAGGACATAGAGCCGAGAAGTTTATAGTATATACAAGAGGAGTGGTTGGCCTTTAAATTGATACCAATTATATTGTCGTATGTACTCGGATGTGGGAATTACACGTAAATATTTGCAGGTGCTTACGTATTCAGGTATTATTTAAAAAACGATTACCACACTAGAGGGAGGAAATATAGCGCTGATCGCTTGGAAATGTTCCATGAGGTTCCAGTTATGGTCAAGGACAACGCGTATAATTTTCGTTGATGATCAGATAGGAAATCTGGATAAGTAATTAGAAGGGTTGTACTGAACATTAGTAATATTCGGAAAATATGTCAGTGTATGGAAGAGGTGCTATTGACCTCTAATCGGGCAAAAGGGTGCAACTATCAGGAAATATTACCCAGGCTCGGAATAAAAATCTGCAGAATGATAGAGTTTTGTGGTAGTTGTGTAGGCCCCGTCCGACTATACTGCTCCGCTACTGGTTGAAATATATTTTTAAGCGACTTACAAGGCGTGCATATTTTAGACATTTTTTCCGGGAATAATGTGACGTATATTTATATAAAGAAATTATTTCTTCAAGTTCTAATAAGGAAAATATTATGGATGTTGCATAAAGGCTTGGATTTATTTTAAAGGAAATATTTTTCCAAGTTCCAACAAGGAAAATATTTTTTTAACTTTAACTTAACTTGGATTAAGGCTTTGATTTTTTCAAGGACCAAAAAAGCGTTAATTTTATCAAGATTCAAACAAGGCGTAGATTTTTTCAAGGACCAAACAAGGCATGTTTTTTAAGGAAATATTTTACCAACAAAGAATGGATATTTTAAAGGAAATATTTTTCGAAGTTTGTGGATTTTTAAAGAAAATATTTTTTCAAGAACAAAACAAGACGTATCATTTTTAATGAAAATATTTTTTTCAATGATCAAACCAGGCGGGGATTTTTAAAGAAAATAATTATTCTAAGACCAAAGAAGTGATGAATTTTTTAAGAAAATATTTTTTAAGGGCCAAACAATGCGTGGATTTTTTAAAGAAAATAGGTTTTCAAGAACCAAACAAGGCGTGGATTAAAAAAAATAGTTTTTCAAGGACCAAACAAGGCGTAGATTTTTTAAAGAAAATAGTTTTTCAAGGACCAAACAAGGCGTGGATTTTTTAAAGAAAATAGTTTTTCAAGGACCAAACAAGGCGTGGATTTTTAAAAGAAAATAGTTTTTCAAGGACCAAACAAGGCGTGGATTTTTTAAAGAAAATAGTTTTTCAAGGACCAAACAAGGCGTGGATTTTTTAAAGAAAATAGTTTTTCAAGGACCAAACCAAACAAGGCGTGGATTTTTTAAAGAAAATAGTTTTTCAAGGACCAAACCAAACAAGGCGTGGATTTTTTAAAGAAAATAGTTTTTCAAGGACCAAACCAAACAAGGCGTGGATTTTTTAAAGAAAATAGTTTTTCAAGGACCAAACCAAACAAGGCGTGGATTTTTTAATGAAAATAGTTTTTCAAGGACCAAACAAGGCGTGGATTAAAAAAAATAGTTTTTCAAGGACCAAACAAGGCGTAGATTTTTTAAAGAAAATTGTTTTTCAAGGACCAAACAAGGCGTGGATTTTTTAAAGAAAATAGTTTTTCAAGGACCAAACCAAACAAGGCGTGGATTTTTTAAAGAAAATAGTTTTTCAAGGACCAAACCAAACAAGGCGTGGATTTTTTAAAGAAAATAGTTTTTCAAGGACCAAACCAAACAAGGCGTGGATTTTTTAAAGAAAATAGTTTTTCAAGGACCAAACCAAACAAGGCGTGGATTTTTTAAAGAAAATAGTTTTTCAAGGACCAAACCAAACAAGGCGTGGATTTTTTAAAGAAAATAGTTTTTCAAGGACCAAACCAAACAAGGCGTGGATTTTTTAAAGAAAATAGTTTTTCAAGGACCAAACCAAACAAGGCGTGGATTTTTTAAAGAAAATAGTTTTTCAAGGACCAAACAAGGCGTGGATTTTTTAAAGAAAATAGTTTTTCAAGGACCAAACAAGGCGTGGATTTTTTAAAGAAAATAGTTTTTCAAGGACCAAACCAAACAAGGCGTGGATTTTTTAAAGAAAATAGTTTTTCAAGGACCAAACAAGGCGTGGATTTTTTAAAGAAAATAGTTTTTCAAGGACCAAACAAGGCGTGGATTTTTTAAAGAAAATAGTTTTTCAAGGACCAAACCAAACAAGGCGTGGATTTTTTAAAGAAAATAGTTTTTCAAGGACCAAACCAAACAAGGCGTAGATTTTTTAAAGAAAATAGTTTTTCAAGGACCAAACAAGGCGTGGATTTTTTAAAGAAAATAGTTTTTCTCGGACCAAACAAGGCGTGGATTTTTTAAAGAAAATAGTTTTTCAAGGACCAAACAAGGCGTGGATTTTTTAAAGAAAATAGTTTTTCAAGGACCAAACAAGGCGTGGATTTAAAAAATAGTTTTTTAAGGACCAAACAAGGCGTGGATTTAAAAAAAAATAGTTTTTTAAGGACCAAACAAGGCGTGGATTTAAAAAAAAATGTTTTCATAGACCAGATAATGCGTGCATTTTTAAAGAAAATATTCTTTCAAGGACCAAACAAGGTGTGGAATGAAAGAAAATATTCTTTTGAGGATCAAACAATGCGTGGAAAGAAAGAAAATATTCTTTCGACGATCAAACAAGGCGTGGATTTTTATACCCTACACAACTATGTTGTCAGGGTATTATAGCTTTGTGCAGCCCCAAAAGTTTGTAACGACGCGAAAGTATACCGATCTTTAAGTATACCCATCGTCATATCTCGACTAGCTGAGTCGATCTACACATGTGTGTCCGACCGTCCGTCCGTCTGTCCATTATATTTGTAAACACGATACAGGCCACAGTTATGGACCAATCTTCATGAAATTTTTCATGTAGGGTGGGTTCTGGCCAATGAAGACCCCTATTGTTTTTGGGAAAGATCGGTTAATATTTAGGGGATGAAATGGACCAAATACTAAATTTTTGTGGGGTTTTCTGGTCGCTCCAGAGGCCGCAATAATGGCCCGAACATCGTGAAATTATCCATGGAGAAGGGGATCAGGCCAAGAATAAGCATGCCTGTTTTCATAAAGATCGGTCAATATTTAGCGGGTCAAATGGACCCAGACTTTTGTGTGAAAAATGACAAAAGTTGTATTCTATAGCGTATATATTTACCCCTGAAGGACATATACCCGAGAAGTTTATATTATATCCAAGAGGAGTGGTTGACCTTTAAATTAATACCAATTATATTTTTTTATGTGCTCGGATGTGGGAGTTACACCTAAATATTTACAGGTATCTCCGTATTCGTATATTATTTAGTAACCCATTATCACTCTAGAGAGCGGAACTATAGCGCTGATCGCTTTGAAATGTTCCATGAGGTTCCAGTTATAGTCAAGGACAACGCCTATAATTTTCGGTGATGATCAGATAATAATTTTGGACTGAAGTGGACCGAAAACATAAATGTTTGTGTTATTTTCGAGTCGATCTATAAACCCTAAATGAAAGCTGAGCATCACAACACAACCCACAGTGAAGAGAATCTGGACAATAGCTGTACTGAATACTCGTAATATTCGGAAAATATGTCAGTGTGAGGAAGATGTGCAGTTTACCGGGCAAGAGGGTGCAAATATCACGAAATATTGCCCAGGCTCGGAATATACATCCGCGGAAAATTTGAGTTCCGTGGTTGTTGTGTAGGTCGGCCCCGTCCGACTATACTGCTCCGCTCACTGTTTAATGAAAATAGTTTTTCAAGGATAAAACAAGGCATGAATTTTTAAAGAAAATATTCTTGTTAAATGTTTTTGTCTTAAATGTCAACACGGCATTTTTAAAGGGAAATATATTTTTAAGTTTCTTAAGGAAATATGTTTTCCAATGCCAACAAGACGTGCTTTTAAAGGAATATGTTTTTTTAAGTTTTTGAAAATTCGTAGAATAACTTTTACATATATAACAGATGGGATTTAACGTCTATTTGTTGAAGAACATTCACTGCTGCAAGTGTAGATTTTTTTTCATAATATTTTTGAAGAATCTTCACAGCTATAAGCTTGGACTTTGAATAACGTGACGTATTATTCACTCACATTAAATAAATCCTTCTGGGACATATAAATAATTTGTGATTATATGCCTTCATATTGTAGGCATATTTTCACATTTACCATCTTTTTTGTCTAAAATATTTAACTTCTACAACTATAGCACAATTCTCGAGAACAAGATTTAAAATAAATATTCATTATTTTAATTAACTTGTTGATTGAAAGGACTTACCAATTTAACCATATTTTATTCTTTTTTTATATGTTTTTCTTAACAAGAAAAATAAATATTTTTTTAAGTTAAGTTTTATGACAATTCACACGGTTGTTCGCGGTATATCCTTTGTGACGTTGCTCTTGATTATTCTCTGTTACAATGGTGTCCACAATGTGTTGTGATAACTGTCATTGGACATCATGCGGTTTTTATAGTGAAGACAATTCAATGATTTGCTGTAAAAACAATTTCAATTGAATAATTTTATTTTCAGAAAAATACTCGTCTTTCCCCTTCTTTAAAAACACACACAAAACCAATTTTACACAATTTACCAACGACTACAAAAGAAAAGCCTCTAAATAAAATTGGTCCAAATAACATCAAATCGAAACAGGTAGCAGCATTTGGCTAACATATGTATGCATGTACGTACGTATATACGTTCACATATTTGCAGTAATTGTGACACACAACCCAAAACTGGTCCGAAAAATAAATCTCGAAAAGGATTCCAGTATAAATGTTATGGACTCATTGATTCCGCTTTGGCCACACTTGCGTTGTGTTTGGCAACAACTGCATCGCTCCGAAAGGCGTTGCATTTCCATAAAAAGCGAAAGTGTAACAATCGACGAGCCCATTTCCACGTGAAAATCTGGGAAATCAATAAGAGTCTGTGTTCATTGATGGATTGTTGTTGTTGTTTTTCATAGAGGAATACTATGTGGGTTTAAAAACAAGCCGAATGAACGGGTTTTTAATGGTAAACAACAGGGTATTCACAAAATAATGTATAATGCCATATAATCACAACTATTGGGTAAAGTTTGATATTACTTGGATGCACAATGGGACCATAGATAAAAATGGTGCCCAATTTTTTTTTTTAATTTTTTATGAAATATTTTTCACAAGCCATTAAAACGAGGAAATATTGTTTCAGAGGCTAGCAATGAGTGCATGTTTTGAAGAATTTTTTCAACAATTTTTTATTTTGAAAATATGTTTTCAAGGACCAGCAAGGTGTGGAATTTTTAAAGCAAATATTTTGGATGGAGCAACAAAGCGTGGCTTTTTTAAAGAACATATTTTATCAACAACCAAAAACGTAAAAATTATTTTTATACCCATCACCACACTGTGGTACAGGGTATTATGTCTTTGTGCATATGTTTGTAACAGGCAAAAGGAAACGAGATAGACCCATAGTTCCTATTGAGAATATGCACATGCATGAGTCGATTTATGCATATCCGTCCGTCTGTTGATGTTAAATTGTAAATAAAGTACAGGCCGCATTTTTGATTCGACATGGATGAAAATTGGCACAGCTCATTCATTTGGACCGATAACGAACCCTATTGAAATTGGGAAAAATCGGCTCAGATTTAGATATAGCTCCCATATATATTTTCGTCCGATTTAAGGTAAATGGTGCACCAAAGACCCTATATATCTGACGATTTGCACGAAATTTGGTATAACGTACTGAATTGAGCCTAGAATGATGTCTGCCAAGTTTTGTGAAAATCGGTCCAGATTTAGATTTAGCTCCCATATATAGTTTCGTCCGATTTCATGTAAATGGCGCACCAAAGTCCCTATATATCCTTCGATTTACACGAAATTTGACATAGCGTACTGAATTAAGTCTAGAAAGATGTGTGTTAAATTTGGTAAATATCGGTTCAGATTTAGATATAGCTCCCATATATATTTTCGTCCGATTTTCTGTAAATGGTGCACCAAAGTCATTATATATGCATCGATTCGCACGAAATTTGGCTTAGCGTACTGAATTAAGTCTAGAACGATGTATGTTAGATTTCGTGAAAATCGGTCCAGATTTAAATTCGACGTCTTTTAGGTTTCATCTGTGAGATATACCTAAAGTGGTGAAGGGTATCATATAGTCGGCCCCGTCCGACTTTACGACTTTCGTTAATGGTTCAATATTCAACAAGGCGTAATTTTTTTAATTAAAATGTTTTCGTGGATAAACTGGAAATGCCTAAAAGTATGCTTATGTAAACTGATCACTTTTTTATTTTCCACTACACCATTTCCAATGAGAATAATGGGTACATAAAGTTGGACAATAGGTAAATTAATTAATTCTATTACTAAAATCAAAAAATTGTCAACAAAAATAATTCATGTTTCTAAGTAGACGTTAAGCAAATATTTGGAAGAATAAGCACACAATTCATAGTAGACCTTGTGAAAGACTTCAAAATCCAAGCTGCTTGATAGACCTTGAAATATGATAAAAAAATCCACGATTCTTGGTAGAATATAGAAAAATACTTTAAAAATCCATGCTTTTTGATAGACGAACACATTTTAAAACCAGTGAGCGGAGCAGTTATGGTCGGACGGGGCCGACCATTTGAGACCCTACACAACTTCTACCAAACTATAATTTCTGGGGTTCTATACTCTGAGCCTGGGCAAAATTTCGAGATATTTGCACTCTCTTGGCCGATTATAAGTCAATAGCTCCACTTTCTAACCATGGCATATTTTCCAAATCTTGTTTTCCCGAGGTGAATATTTAACCCGTAAAATAAAAATGTGGCCACTTTAGGTTGTGGTTGATTTGACCCTCGGAATATTGACCGATTATCATCTAAACAGCTGTTCTAAATTACTTTTCAGATACCCCTTCACCGTGTAAAATATGAGCTGTTCTGCATATAACAATGGCATCTAGAGGGACTAGAAAATCTGACAAAAATAAAGATTTCAGTTTATTGCACCCTAAGCACTATCTCAACATCATCGAAAATAATGCGCGTTGTCCTTGACCATACCTGGACCCTCATGGAAAATTTCAAAGCGATCAGCGTGACATTTCGGCCCTCTAGTGGGGTAATAGTAGTACTAAACAATATCATAGCACATAGACACCTTCAATACATATAATTGGTATCATTTAAAGGCCAACCACGCCTCTTGGATATACTATCAACTTCTCGGGTATATGTCTTTCAGGAGTAAATATATTCGCCATAGAATACAACATTTGTAATTTTTCACACAAAATTCGTGGTCCATTTGACACCCTAAATATTGACCGATCTTTATCAAAACACCCATGTTTATTCGTTGGCCCGACTCTCTTCTCCATGTAAATTTTCGAGATGTTTGGGCCATAATTGCGGCCTCTGCAACGACCAGAAAATCAGACAAAAATAAAGTTTTTGGTCCATTTCATCCCCTAAATATAGGGGGTCTTCATTAGCCAGAACCCTTTCTACATGCAAAATTTCGTGAAGATTGGTCCAATTATAATGGATAGACGGACGGACACACATGTCTCTTGGGGCTGCACAAAGCTATAATACCCTGACAACTTAGTTGTGTAGGGTATAAACATCTACTCTGCTTGATACACCTTAAAACTATTTTATCAAATCCACGTTTGTGGATAGACAGTCTGATGTTGGACGTAACCGAATTTATTCGTGCATAATTTATATTTGATGCCTAAAAGCATGCTATCATCATAATATTTAAGTTTTGTATTCCAAAATAGGAAGTTAATTATTTTAGGAATTATACAATGAATACATTGTAATTTTGTAGGTTATTTTTTCAATAAATGTTTACTCAAGGAAATTAATGTCAAAGTTTTCCAATTCATAAATATAAAATAAAAAATATTTCATCGCCCCACTGTGTTACCTATATTATTTAATAGCATAACATGTCTTATATTTTTACATCATCATTGCCATCTTTATCATCGTTGTTGCCACACCGTTGTGCCGGTCGTCACCAATACCGGTAATGTTGACTTTTATTCGCCTGATATCCAGCCATACAACACAGCACAGCACCACCCCAGAAAAAGGCCAACAATAACTGTAACAAGTGGTTAACTGGTCTAGTCGCTATGGATTAGGTTAGTGGAGTGGTCTTCACCACTGCCGGTTTCTAGTGGCAACATGATTTACAGCCATGGTAGAAGGAAATTTCAAATGTGTTTTCAATTTCACAGCCAGCCAGGCTGCCAGTCACTCGGCTGGCCATCCAGCTAGATTTAATTCGATTTTTCTTGGAAAAGACAATTGAATGCGTCCCAATTGTAAAACAATCGGAGTTGACCTTTCCCTGAATTATATAAACGAATTGACATTTTACAAAAAAAAAAAAAAATAAATAAATAAATAAAAGGGGAGTTGGTGAAAAGTTGTAAATTGATATTGTCTACAAGCTGAAACGTTCACAATTTGTTTCCACTTAGAAGAAAATAAAATGGAAAACCAAAAAAAAAAAAAACATAGGTTCATAGCTGTAAGCAGTTTTTAAGATGTCTGGTATTTTAAAAATAGGAAATAAACCAGTAAGGAAAGCAGTAAAGTCGGACTATATGATACCCTTCACCACTTTGGGTATATTGTACATATGTATCCTAACAATTGCATGTCTATGTTCTCTCTTTCTCCAACCAATCCTAACTTTAATTTCATTCGAGCAGATTTAGAGCCGTCTGCGTAACATGGAAACATTTATGGAAAACGATTTATAGCAAAATTGATACACGCTATTCGGTACGCGTTGTTAAAATTATAATCTATATAATCTGAACCGATTTTCACGAAAATTAAAGCACATCTTTCTAGACTGAATTCAGTACGCAATGCCAAATTTTTGTGCAAACCAAATGATATATATAGGGACCCTGGTGCACCATTTACATAAAATCGGACGAAAATATATATTAGAACTATATCTAAATCTCAGCCGATTTTCACGAAATTTAATTTTAATACACATCATTCTAGACTTAATTCAGCACGCTATGAGACATTTCGTGCAAATCGAAGGATTCAAAGGGTCCTTAGTACACTATTTAACGAAAATCGGACGAATATATATATATATATGAGAGCTATATCTAAAACTGAACTGATTTCCACGAAATTTAACACACATCGTTTTAGACTAAATTCAGTACGCTGTGCCAAATTTCGTGCAAATCGAAGGATATATAGGGACGTTGGTGCATCATTTACGTA